ATTTTTCCTGTGCTCTGGTGACGATAGACAGAGGGAGCTGTGAGCAGACTTAACATCAGGCTTATGTCAGTATTATCTTTAGTCTAGCTGTGTACTGTAGGTGTGTAACAAAGGATCAGATTTCTCTTCAGTTTATGGCTGTGCTTCATCATGTTTTTTCTTCACCTTAAGTTTAGTTTGACAATCAGTAAATAAGGACCATCACTGTTTTTATCAACAGAGAAGAACATATGCTGCTTGCAATAAAATTTCCATAAAACATTTAATTTGCATTTTTTTGTAATGGTTCAAAAATGTCAGGCAGCCACTGTTAAAAGGAGTAAGAGTGGAACCCACGTGGAAATTGATGCAGGTGTTTCTGTTTGATTCTCTGTCTTTGTGCTGGTGTTGCTTTGGCAGTAGATAGTGCCGTTCTTTCCCAGTGGCCTGGTATGTAGACCAGAGGGAAAATGATCTCACGCTGCTGCCCCTCATGTTGTCTCCACTCCGTTTTTTTCTCTGTTAATGTCATTTTTACTCTTGAAAGAAACAGGTTTTTGATTATTCACATAGTCCTGGGTTTTTTATTGATTGTGACATTTTCATTGACAACCTTTATTGTTTAACAAATTGTATCCATCCCCTAAAAATGTAGATCCTTTTTTAGAAAACAAAAAAACAATGACTTGCCATGGTTTTTTTCTTTTTTCTTTCCATGAATCTGTGTGTTATTCTCCCTGACATCACTGCCCACAGACAGGTCAGCAACATCATCATTGGCACATGTTGGCCCGTTGTTGTTGTAAGCCAGAATTCCAGAAACGGTGTTTATTAATGATGTCTGAGAAACTGCCAGTACGTCCTGTTACAGTGACAGCACTTGACCAGTCAAAACATGTTTACATGTTCCACATTGTAATAACAAGCTGCTACAAATGGAAGATATCCATGTTACACCAACAGGCAACAGCTGCACACACAAAGATGGACTGTAGAATACCTCTTCCTAATGTAACTCTCCTATTCACTCACTCTTGCCAGCTCACCTTATCTTCAGATGTGTATTTATATATGTATGTATATATGTATGTATAAATGTATATTATATTTTTTATTTATATAAATATATTTAAACACACATATTATATATGTATTATTATATAAATGTATTTAATGTGTATTTATATATATATATATATATATATATATATATACACACACACACATACAACTGCATGCAGGTCTACATAGACCTTACGAAAGCAGACGTATCAGTCTTGCTTGGCTCCCTCTTTACCGCCCTCTCCAAAGCAGTGGCACAGGTTACCACTGGTGTTTGGCACCTCATTTCCATGGCGTGCTCGCTGAAGGCAAATGTGCTCAACTGTTCTTTGTACTTGGCCCTGTTCCAAATCCTCACTGGATTATCTTATTGTCCTGGTGCTGAGTCAAAGGCCACTCTCCATTTGTATCTGACAGGTGAAGCAGGGAGCGCCTCAGCGGACGATCAGAGTGCGGTGTAATCTAGTGCAGGGTGAGAGAAAAAGCAGGCCGATCAGATCAAAATATGACACCGTCGTCTGTCAGTCAGATGAAGTGCAGACCACAATGGGTGGCTAAGACGGCCCTTTTCTGGCCTCTCCCCCCTCTCTAAACATGACAGAAAGCTGGAGAAGTAAGAGCTCACAATTCTAATACATAGAGTGCTTTCCTTTCGCTCATATTTACAAGAAATCCAAGAAAATACCAGATACACTTGAATGTTTATAATGTTTTGAAACCATTTGATGCCTCTGGTAATAAAAATATCAGTTGATGTAGACATCGCCTGAACAAGCTCCCGTGGAGTGCACCAGTTGTCAGTTATCGTTAGTATTTGTGGTGTCTCTTAAAAAGGGTTTCTCATTTCAAATAGATGGTCGCATGTGCTTTTGAAAAATTACCTGAACCTAGGAATTAAAACCAAAATTTCTTCCTTCATGGACAGGTCTAACTATTATTAAATGGACAAAAATGTATAACTTACAAAGCTTATAAAAGTCCCTTCCCTACAATACACCTTTTTTTAATTAACTTGTAATAGAGAGAACATCTTTGACCTGTGACCTGTTTCCAGTTAGTCCATACACTCTCGGGGCTACGATGTTTTCATGTTTCTTTCATGCCCACACGCTGTAGTGTATGTGTGTGTGGATGTGTCTGTAGCACAACAGGGCTTTGTATGTTTTAGAAGGAGTGTATTCAGTTTGGTGTTACACACCAACCAACACACAGGCACACACAGATCTGAGACAGGAAACAAAAACACCCCACACGCACATCGTTTGCGCTGCTTTGTCGCAGCGTAAGCCTGACTAAATCTCGTTGCTTTTGAGCGTGTCAGTGAGAGACACACACCACTGAGGGACACGACATGTGCTTATGTTTACATTCATGTTCCTGTTGTTGCTCTGTCAAGTACCAGAGTGCCCTTTGAGTTCACTATTATGTTCTGCATTGGATGAATACAAGTTACAGTATGTTAAAGTTAGTGTTACAGTTGGAAGTGTTTTAATTAGGACAATTAGATTCAGACACATTCCACATTTCCTTCTTGATATCATTGAATTGAGGTGATCATCCATTAGTTACGCCACTCCTTGCTATTCTAGCCTATCAAGTTACTGATCCCTCCAGCCTTTGAAGTGCGGCATTTCCTGTGAAGATGAGAAGGACCTACGCCTGCATTTAATTTGACTCCTTTTTTTTTTTTTTAACTGCACTTGTTTGTCCTGACACACCCTACAGGTAGCGTGGTGTCAAATGTTAGCATGCTGCATTTTGATATTAATTGTGGGGTCTGGGTTTTTTATTTCCAAATTCCATTCCCCTTTGTGACTACGTCTTAATTTGCTACACTAACGACAGCATAATAGTTGTACACTGATTCAGTACTGCTTGTATTAACAAGCTCCCCATACAGTAAAATAAAAGTGTGAAGTTTCTGTGAAATGCAATTTTGACAAAAGGTGACAAGAAGAGAGTGTTTCGTGAGTCCAGCAGTGCCAGAGTTGCAGTGTGTGGCCTAATTCCTGAGTTGTCCATTCATAGTCTGGCCTGGCTGCTTACCAGTTCTTTCTTCTTCTGTGTGCCTTCATCTACTGTGTCTCCTCGGGTGCTCATATAGTAACCAGTCAGATTTCTGTGAATGATTACACTGAAATATACCAGTTTATTTTACTATGCTCGTTTGTCCTCGGTCTGTTTAAGTCACTTATTCACATACTAAAAACTCAAGTAGCTGTACCTGTTTAGTGTTTAAGAAAATTCACTACTACTACTACTACTACTACTACTACTACTACAGGTGTGCTTAGTGCTGTGTCCTTACAGAAAGACAATTAAAGTTTCCTTGGTTATATAGCTGTAATTTCTGCATGACGTTTGCACCATCTTCCGTGTGTGCTTAGGTTTACTCCTGGTTCTCCAGTTTCCTCACATAGTCCAGAAACATGCAGTTGGGGTTGACTGTTCATACTGACAGGATTCTGAATTATATATTCAGAAGTAGTTAATGATAAACCTATGCATAATTTGAAATAGATAATCACTGAAGAACCAAATTGTGAAGCACTCTCCATGGATGTGGTATACAGATACAGAATTTGACCGCTGCATTTAACATACCAGAAAACCTTAGTGTAAACTATTTCCTGTCGACCTTTATTTTTAGACAACCACACGCACGTCAAGATCTGGTTTGAACTGACGTGGCGGGCTGCATGCCTTGTTTTGACAAAGTTGCTGTTGTACGACAGTTACATTTGACACGTACATTACAAAATTCTTTGGGAAGAAAGCCTCCTGTACTACAACTAAGTAATCTCCCTTTAAATGTAAAAGTAAAATAATGTAAAGTTGTACTGTGTTGTTCCCTGTCTATGCACAGCTGCATTCATTTGCATACAGCCTGACACCAGGCCTGCACCACTTAGATTTCACTCAGTGATGCTTTTAGCTTCAATAAAATGGGTGTAAACGATCCTGCTTCCTTTTTACTCCCTTTCTCTCTCTCTCTCTCTCTCTCTCTCCCCTTTTCCCTCTCTCTCTCTCTCTCTCTCCTTTTCCAGTTTTCCTGTCTCTTTTTATCCACCACTTCCAAACATCTTGCACAGTCATTGTATCCTGGGAGAGATGGGGCGAGAAGACTTTTATTTGCTTCAGTCAATCCTCTGAGGATGCACTCCTCTTTGATCCACTTCAAAAATCTCTTCTTTATTCCATCACTTGTGCTCCCAGTCTCAGTGGTCTGACCCATTTGTGCAGCATTTGTGGATATGTCTGTGAATACTGTATGTCCATTGGAAAAGAGAGGGAAAAAAGTCAACAGCTCTAGCTCTGAAATTTTCCTCATTTTCGTTAATTGCTTCTTCACAGAGTCTCTGTAGTTGTGTACATCTGTGGTCAGAGAGCTCATGTTGTGAGCTGCGTGGTTATGTCTGCATGTAAAAGCTAAAGAGGAAAGGTGAAATTTCAGCGACATGTACCAGGAGATGCTCAGCAGTGTGATATCAAAGAAGAGCAGAGTCAGCTCAACATGCTTTAATAAACCGCCAGTTCCAAATCTAACATGAATGCATTTTCTTACCCCAGTGGGCATTTGGTAGCCCAAAAGCTAATTGCACTAAATATTCAATATTCAAAATTAAAAATGATTTTGCTTTGTTATGCTATCACAGATCATTAAGCAGAACTTTTTAAACTGATGGATCTGGCTGAGAAGCAAGAGGTTTAATATAATTTACCTTTAACTTCTAGGTGACCAAAGATGCACATATTATTGTATTTTTCATTGGCCTTTTAAGAAAAACATATTTTAAGCCACTGCTACATTTGATTTGCTCCAGCTGCTCCAAATCCCCTCCCCCACGGGGGCATTACTCAATTTGCCTTGTTTATTGCGAGCTGCTAATCCATGGTGCATATAATGTATGAGATTTCACACGACTTATCTACTTCTCCCTCGTTTTTCTCCTACACAGTGAACACCTCTCCTGCGCCTTCACCTTTTTCTTGCATGGTGACAGCAACGTCTGCACCAGTGTGGAGATCAACCAGCACCAGCCCGTCTACCACCTGACAGAGGAGCACTTGACTCTGGCACAGCAAGCATCAAACCCCTTCCAAGGTAGGATTCAGAAACACGTCTGTCCTCCTAGTGAAGACGTCTCTGCTGCTCACAGAGGCGCTGTTACAGCAGACAGCCACTGAAATAAGCGTGTAAGACAACAACCTACAAAAACACTTGCCCTGCCTCTCATGTTTCTTCAAATTTCTCCGTAGTTGTATTGATGACTGATCATATTGACTCTCTTACCACTTTAATGTGATTAAGTAAAGCACCAAAAAGTTATACTTTTTACAGTGTAGATGAAGAATATATGGCTTTTAGAAATGTGTATCATTAATAGCTTTCTCTAATATTAAAATACCACTCTCAAGTGTTAGCGCACTTGTGTATTTTTTTGAAATAAATGTGTTCGTCAGCTTTCCGTTTTATAGGATAATGCTTTTACCATCCCTGTGTTAGACTGTTTTCCATCAGTCTGGCTCTGGGCCAGTAGATTCGAAAAGCCTCCATAGTTACTTTAAATTACTGCACCTGTAAAAAAAATCTTTGGCTCCAATGAGATTTCATTGTCGGCTCAAAATGTATTTACACACTCAACTCAAACTGAACACGGTGTCTTCAATAAACACTTGTGATGTTTCTTTTCTTCTCACACAGACACATTAATGTTCTGATGGTAGCTCACAAAGTGTATAATAGTTTGAAGTAATAAATTCAATCTAAATATATATATTTATATACATGTTTATATGTGTTTCTAGTCTTGATAGTGTTAGTTAATAAATATACAAACAGTCATCAATAGTTTTTCCCTGCAGAGCTTATTTCTCTACTAAAAGACTTCCTTCAAAGTATTTTTCTGTAATTGGATTTTGACTCATGTTAGCAGAGTCAAAATCGATGCAGTAATCACAGAGTTGATAACATCCTTCTGTTCTTCACAAAAATAGAATCCTGATTTTCTTTGTTTTAGTTGTCAGTGTTTATTGCTTGGTATTAAATGTGATTACACTCGTCCAAATATACCAGCTAACAACCCCAATTTGCGTTTGATTTTCTGTTAAGTGAACTCATACTGAATGTGTTGATCAAATTTTTAAATTTAAAAATGTTTTTGACGGAGAATGATTTTAGGTGCAGGCACGCTTTATTGAGCACAAGGTTTTTATTTTGGTTTTTTTTGCTTTTTCGCATTTACTTTTACAGCTACAGCACAGGTTTTTTTTTTGCTTTTTCGCATCGCTACATTTACTTTTACAGCTACAGCACAGGTGCAGCAGATTGGGAAAATGATAAACCTTTTCATCATAGTTGTAGCCTGAGTGTTTTGTAACTGTTTTGTTACAGGTTTACTGTAAGAAATTCTGAAATGAAGCGTAGAATGACTTGAGCTTTACATGGTTTTATGATAAATTAACCTGCTCTGGAACTATTTATTGAAGTGGTTGGTGTAGTGACACCATTTGTTGTCACGACAACAAAACACTCCTTCAGCAACTATTTTGGCAGAAATACAGCGTCCATGCACTGTCAGTTGGAAACGCATTCTGAAAGTCAAAGGTATGCAGTCAGTCACCTTCATTAGTGACAGCTCCAGGTCTGCGCTTACTATAAGAATTAGAGCAAATGTTGAAAAAGCGTGCTTTTTCCAAAGTGCTGCCACCAACTCGAAGAAACGATCAGTCTTTCTAAATACTTTCAAGTAGTTGACTAATATAAACAACTAACCTTTCCATTTTATTTTAGATTTTTTTTTAAACGTAGCATAACCTTGAAACATTTTGCAGAAGAAATTATTATTTCTTCTGCAAAACGTTCAGATACACAATCAAGTTTGGAAGATTTTTCCAATTTGTATATTTTTCCAATTCGGAGTACACATGTTTGGTATCAGACCATCGGATTGTGTATTTTGTACCATCCTCAAAACATTGACCAGCTCAGAACTTGAGAAGTCTTGGAGTAAGAAAAGGTTTGGTTTTCATTTCATGGCTGTAATAAAGACAGTGTGTCTGCCGTCAGTGAAGTGAAATTGCACAAGGTTGTTTTTGTGAAACATGAGGGTCGAAGTAGGAAGTCTTTCCATATCCTCCCGTCCTGAAAGCTATTCTTTGGTCCAGCCCCAGGATCAATACCAACAGACAGAGGCCAACCTGTCTTATAGTGACATTCAGTACTAGTGAAGCAGAACACAGGGTGACATAAACAAACGCTCTGTCATACACCCACAAAAACTACCAGCCGTGCACCATTTCCCCACCTTATATTATTCAAATGCATAATTGACAGTGAGAAGGCATTATGATCTGACAGGCTCTCTGCATATATGTATACATGTCATCCAGATATGCATATAGCTTACATGCACATATGTATGAATTATGCATGTTCAGTTATGGTAATATTTCCATTCTGTGATGTAGGTCTGTTTTGTGATGGGCTCACTCTGTGACTCCTGCATGTCTGTGCAGGCAAATGTGTTTGCAGAGGAGTGGTCCTTTCTTTTATAAGCCTCTGTTTATGTCCTCTGCGAGGCCACCACTTGCCAATAATTGGTGTCTAGATTGCTCTCTAAGTATTTGGTGAGTCAGCCGGGACCAGCTGAGTCCAGCAGTGCTCTGAAAGGTCAGATGGAAGCAAAAACTGTTGGAGTTGGGAGATGGAAAGCAGCAATGGAGATGTAAGAAGAGAGAATTGATATCGATGAGAATAATTCAAATATCTGAGATAGCAATCAGACAGGGTTTACATTTGTATGTTAAGAGATTATGTCAAAACATAAAATATGCTTTTTAAAGTGGGTTTCTTAAAAATGTTATTTGAAATGTATAAAACACCAAACTTATTTTGATTTAAGTTTGATGTTTGGAAGTCATAAACCATATGGTGGACTTGATTGACTTCTTATTTATGAAGAAGACTAACCTATTAGCTTCTTTTTCCCTCCGTTTCCTCTCCTCCTTTCGTCTCTTCTCATCTTTTTTTCCTCATAGTGATCCTGAGTCCTTTTGGACTCAACGGGACTCTGACCGGCCAGTCATTCAAAATGTCAGACCCACCAACACAGAAGTTAATTGAGGAGTGGAACCAATTCTACCCTATCGGCCCCAGTGCGAAGCAGGGCCTGTCGGAGGATAAGACAGAGGACATGCATTGGGAAGATGATTCTCTGGCCTCAGTCGAGGTTCTCGTTGGTCAGTAGCTTCATGATTTTAAAATTAATATCAAGAGGTTTACTTTGAACATGCCAAAAGTAGATTCATGGAGTTTGGCTTGATCCTCTGCCTCCCTCTGAAGGTGGTGTGCGAATGGTGTACCCAGCCTGCTTGGTGCTGGTGCCTCAGTCTGACATCCCTGTCGTGGCCCCTGTGGGGTCCTCTCACTGCACTGCCATCTACTCGGGTGGCCATCAAGTGCCTGCTTCCCAGCGAGAGCCCGCCATTTCTCTGGTGACACTCACGCCTCCAACATCGCCCGAAGAAGTGCAAACAGGCAGTGACAATACTAAAGGTAAGATCAGTCTGAGTACAAATGTGGTGTTAAAATAATCCTGCCTTTTAATCACCAACTCTGTCTCTTCCCTGTACAGTGGACTCTAACTCTTCCAAAAAGTGGGTTAATATGCCCCCGTCATCTGATGGGTTCAGTATGGACAGAACAAGCCACCACGGTGGCAAGATTCCACGGCGACTGTCCACTCAGGTAGTGGAGCGCGTATGGCAAGAGTGCAATATCAACCGAGCCCAGAACAAGTAAGTTGTTTTCCATGTAGACGGCAGTAATGATTTTGAAAAATATTTCTTCTGAGTAGAACACAGAGAGGCTGAGCGTAAATGTAATGTGACATGTTTTCTCTTTCGTTTTATAAACTCTTATGACACTGAAGCGTATTAAACAGCAGCATAAAGTGGCTGTGTGCTAAACATTGTTCAGGTACTTGAACACTGAGACGCATTGGACACCTTGTTTATCCCTTTATAAACACACACTGTGCAAGCCAATTACAACTAAGTCCAACATTAAGCGCTGGATCAGATTTTTTTTTTAAACATGTGATGATAACTTATCCTGCTCAAAGGGCTGGGAATTTTAAAACGAACTCTAAGTTGTGAGCCAAACAGGATAACCATTAATTGTCTTTTGCTGAAACACCAGAAATATTTAATTTGAACTATAACAATGTATTCCTTATATATGAATAAATATAAAAATAAGTAAAATTCTGAATATTTACACCAAGTGAATACACCAATCACTTACCAACACACAAAGTTAGAGGCTTGATTAGAATCATGGATTTGGAAAATTCAGATTATGAATTACATACATGCCACCATATATTATACCCACACAGAATTTGACCACGCATGTTGAGCTCCGTTGGGCCGGTTGTATTCGCCTTTCTTTTTAACCACTTCTTTCATTCAACACTCATGTCTTCAGGTTATTTATATTCAGCACCATGATCAGCAAATCTGCCACGTTCCGTCTCTCCTACATTTATGGCCTAACTACACTACATATATTTACCCCTGATAATCTGGCTGCTGTAGATGTTGTCAATTTGTTGCCAATAATCACTTACCAACACGAGAATCAGCAGCTGTGAAGTGTAAAATATGCAAAGATCTGGCCTGTAAAGACCCTCCGAGGCTTACCCCACACAACATAAATCCTAGATCTTTTTTTCCCCCCTGTCAATTTGGCAGCTGTGATTGAACCTCTAAGGTATTAAATAAATAAATGTATGTAGTGTGAACTCACTGCAATGGCAAAAAATAATAGTTGCAGCTTGGTGTATTTTGTTTTTATCCGTTTCTGTTTTTATTAAAACAAAAATAATGCACAGTTGATTGAAAGGACACTCAACAAGAGTTTAAAGCATTCAGGTTTAAATGTTGTCCTGTTTTACTCCAGTGCACCTGATGCACTCAGAGTGCATCAGAATCTCTTGCCCTTTGTCTAAGCATAAATGTCAACCATCGTTAGCTGCTGGCAATTCAGATGACAATATTGAGGAAGGCTAGAAGTCAACACAACACAGTTAGTAGTGAGCTGCACTAATGAGAATTGTAAGGCATGTTTAATAGTTTTTTTTGTTTTCACCTTCTAGGCGCAAGTACTCAGCTGCAACCAATGGTACCTGTGAGGAGGAACTCACTGAGAAAGTAGGAACCTGGAATTTTGTGGAGCCATCACAAAGGTCACACTGCAACTGTTCCAGGTCAGTCTCCCCGGTTAATTCTGGAGTGTTTTCAGGCAAAGATGTTTCTCTCAACTGATGAATAAATAATGAACTGTCATTTATGGCTGAAGGCCAGGGATAAAAAAAGACTAGTCAAACATTGAATTGAGTTAGTGAGTAAAAAAAGTAAAATACTCAAATTCAATACATAATATTTCTTAGGCACTGTTATATCATGATTTTCAGTGCAATGGACAAGTGACTTACTTTGCTGCTTTTGTATTAATATCTTTGTGACACATTCAAATCAAATCTCTCCTTAACCTCGTGTCGTAGGGACCAGCTTCCTTTTTAAGACAAGCTTTTATTTATTCATCAAATGATTCAATGACTGCATTGTATGTTTTTGTAAATTATACTTTCAAATCTTGCACAGTTAAAAAGAAGAAGTTATGAGAGAAAGTGATCAAAAGTTGTAGGTTCTCCACTGTGATAAGGAGAACACACTCTGTGTATTGTGTAGTGTATTTTTTGCAGCCACAGTCAGTGCTGCAAAACAAATAATTGAAACACTGGCCAAAGGAAAGGGGAGCCAACTTGGACCAAAGGCGAGAGCGAGAGTGGATTGGGCCAGTCAGCTGGATCATGTTAATTTGTTGGAAGCTACCTCGTTTCTGGGCAACTCAGAAATGAAACCTCTGTTGCCAGCCTTAAGGACTGAACTCTGTTTGTAGTTAGAATTGTTCCAAGTGTCTTCTTATGTTGACACATAGAAGTTTAAACACATCTCATCAATTAAAAAAAAAGTCATTTTTGAACATAATAATTGATTCATTCAACAGGACACTGTCATATCCTAAATACAGAAATACAAAACTTACAAAAGTTAAAGCTAAAACTAAAAACGTAGGTATTTTTATTTAAAGTGTTGTTTCACAGCATAATTTTGTCCTTTTGTTTCACAGACACAAATCAGTAAAGCAGCGAACAGGAAGCACACCAGGTCAAGCTCAGTTATCAGGCCAGGCCTCTCAGCCTCCTACCAAGCACAAAGCTGGGGGTGAGAAGCTTGAGAAAGGTGAAAAGCAGCAGAAAAGACCCCAGACGCCCTTCCATCACCGCAGCCTAACAAACGACGAGGCCTCACTAGACTCAGAGACAAATGTAGGACAGAGGTTGGCCATGAGGAACCAGGACGGGGGAAGATTACCAAGTATTTGCTCTGCAGATGTTTCTGCTATCCAAAAAACGCCACAGCTCCATAGTGGAGCTGTAAACTCTGGCCCTTCAGACCAAGCCAACTCCCCACAACCCCCATCACTTAGCCCTCACCCGTGTGAGCGTAGCGAGGAGTCGGGGGAGGGCATGAAGAACCCTTCAACCCCCAACAGCCAACACTTTTACCAACAACCTCCAGACCCGTGTCTGGTTGGAGTGAAGGGTGGCAGCGAGGAGCTGTCCAGCACAGAGAGTATAAGTCAGCACTTCAACTCGCATCACCCCCATCCAGGGGTATCGGCGTACTCTGATTCTCCAGAACCCGTCGTTTACATTGGCGCAGCGGTCAACCAGGAGGAAGACAATTCTCACACTCCATGGCGGTTATTCAACTTACCGCGCAGGAAAGAAGCCGAGGTGCCCACCCCACTGCTGCCAGGAGACAAGCTGAAGGACGAGGCTTCTTTGTCGCAGGAAAACCTGGTGTCTGTTACTGAGTAAGCTCCTTTTCCCTCCCGAACCCGTCCACACCTTTTCCTTCAACTCTTAAAGTCTTGTATGTCGATTAAATCTGCACAAGATTCTAATCTCTTGCTATCTGTCCTTTTGACATCTTACTTCTTTAATATGCAGGGTGGGAGCTATACATGGATCCCAACACAGAAACGGGCAGTTAGTGATGAAAAGAGTAAATGTAGAGTTACATTAATATAAACCCACAATTGGAGTAATTGATTCTTATATAAGTGCTTGCTGTAAGGAAGCTGGGGGCAGTCGAGAGGTTTACACTGGCTAACATAATGTAGGATGGTGAAAGTGGGAGTTATCATTAGGGTTACGCAATCTCAAGAGGCCAGACACTTGTGTGGAAAGTTCTACTAAGCTGTAATCCTTCCAGCCACAGTTCTGAATGGCCCCTAATCTGTGGCCTACTCCACTGCACATCAGAACTAGACAGGCATGACGACAGGATACGAGTACAGAGAAATGTGGGAAGGAATAAAGGCGAGAAATAATACATGAGCAGCATTTGTTCCTTCCCTCCTGGCTTGTGGTCAGTGTTCAATTTTTTTAATCACTTTCTATTCTTTAAATTGTGACAAATGAGAGTTTAAACGGAATGGTTTGATTAGTGACCAATGTGGATGTAATGTTTAATCAAGCCTGTCTACGATGAATTCTCAGTCGTCAGTCACTCTGTTTCCATCAGGCTGCGAAAATTGTGATTATATGACACCAACAAGATGCATTAGTTGTACTGCATGGAAACTGTCAGAGTGGTTAACAATCCCTGCCAGTGCTGCTACGTAAGATACTGTAGATAATGTTAGCCTGACAGCCAATATCACAGAACAGCAAGTCAGAACTGATCACATCAGGAAACTTTGCATTGTCAGGAGAGGATAACGTCACTCGAATAATTAAATTTTCTTTGGAAATACAGTTTTAACATGTATGTGACGAACATCAAACCAGAGCCTTCACACCTGCCTTGTCTCCTCCTCAGGATCATGTCCACATCTAAATGGCCATTAAAGGTCTCTGAAGAACTTATTCAGATGTACCGAGCCAGGAGAAACCAGTACCTATCTGCAGCCATAACTGATGGAGACCACGAGCCAGAAGCAGATCCTTATGCCTTTGAAGAAGGTGACGTGAAGTTCACATTCTCCAAGAAGGACAAAGCAGGTGGGGAGCGTGACCCCGGCAAGAAGCATAAGGTGAGAAGCCAGATGAAGAAGTGTCTCTCCCTTTTTAAAGACATATTTTTTAAACATGTTTAAGGTGCACGGTGCATCAGTCAAAACATTTGGTATTTCAGCTTGTGTTGTACAAAAAAGGGCTCGCTTGTCCCATTACTATGCACTGATTAATGTGCACAAATGAACTGATGCAACTGTTTGTGGATTTTTAAACGTGACCTTTGTTAACAAACTGTTGGAATCTTTGAGGGGAAAAAAAATCAAACGGGTGATTCATTCAAATTGACGAGTGTAGTGTGATAACTTATTACAAAATAAACATGACATTTGATGCTCATCAGATTACTGAGTCATGAGGCAACAGACTGAAAATAAACTGTCTATTTTCATGTCATCAAACCTTGACGTCCTTATTGGTCGTTGACTGTGCTGCAGAACACATGCTCCTGTAGGCCGTCACCATATCACTGTGAAGCCACAGTAACATATGAGTGGTTTTTATCCTTCATTACTTTGCACATAATTTGCCCTGAGACACATTAAGGAAACTGTCTCAGACAAATGAGTCATGCCGGTGTAATGGAGAGTAAACTATATGATAACATTTATTACAGACAAGATAAGACCTAAAGAGAACATTTATAGTTTTTCGCTGTTGTGTTTACCGCTGATGGAAAAAAACACAAACACAACATTTTTAATCGTGTGTTACTCAGAAAAGAGCTGTGGGCATTCGAAAAACAATGACATCAAAACATAAGATTCCTGTTTCAGAGTCAGAACTGTTCAATACACGACTTGTCAGAAGAATATAAACACACAGAAGGTCAGTCGTCCTCAGTGTTGTTGTGAGAGCCAGAGATTTCATTCCTGAGATCATCATCACTGTAATCCACTGAAAAACTCCTTGGCAGGAAGTTTATACCACCAGGTTAATCTATCTGTCTGTCTATCTTTTTCCTCTTTTATTGCTTTTTTCCATTATACATTGTTTTCCAGAATATTTATAAACTTGCGTTATGTGTTTATTATTTTTACTCAAATATGCTGCTTGAATATTTGGCAGCAGTAACATTTTTTCCTTAATCTAATTTATTTACATTCTCTTTCCTTACAGGGTGAAGATGGAGGATCGTGTCCATCAGATGGTAACAATTCTTCTCATACATACTATATACTGAGTGTGTGTGTGTGTGTATGTGTATATATATATATCTATATATACATATATATACATATATATACATATATATACATATATATATATATAGTATATATATGTGTGTATATATATATATCTACACACACATATATATACAGTATATATAGGCGTGGGTATATATATATATACATACCATACATACATAATAGCATATGTTATTTCCTTCTTCAGTACCTCATTGGTTACATCACTTATTTAAATTGCTTGTTTGACTGAGAATTTGACATTTCCAACAGCTCTAAGAGTGACAGTTTAAAGCTGGATCTTTAACCATTAGTTACTTCTCCAGCAACCACAGTCAAACTGTAAACCCTGGGCATTGGGACATGATGTTTCTACATTGACGTGCTCTCTTTCCATGTTTGTACAGATGCCCAGCGGGCTGCTGCTCACAACCACACGGTCTCCACCAGCCTAATTCACGAGATAGACCTGGCCGTGTCCATCAATGACTTGGACAACCTCTTCAATTCAGATGAAGATGAACTGGCGGTTAGTAGGAACCTCTGCTCAAACCACAGTCCATATTTTGTTACACATAGTGTGGGCTGGCACCACATGTGAGCGTGTGTGTCTGTGTGTGTTTTCCTCTGGCATGTGCCAGAGCGCTGTCTCCATTCTCCCCATCGTTCACTGACAGCTCACAATGACCGCTCCACTTACTTCCCAAAGACGAGCGTTATGTTGGCATGTACACCACACTAGTGAAAAAACAGAGTTTGAATTGAGCTGTTGCTTAAGTGTCAATTCATGTTTTAAGCTCCTAATATAAGCAGCAATTATATATTTCTGTGTCTACAGCCTGGCTCCAGGAGACCTGTCAATGGAACCGATGAGAAATTTGGCAACAAGGACCCAAAACCATCCACTTTGGACCCAGTATCTTGTATAAGTATGTATATCTACTTCTGTTTTCATGGATAACAATACAACTCTGTAATGTAGCGGGTCTTTCACACTATAAGAATGAATGAGTGAAATGGTTATTTTTATACAAGATATTTTTTACAACATCTGAACAATAAGATGTCAATATTTTCAGTTCTCATTTAGTTGCATATTTATTCTAGTCACTGATAGTCACTGATAGTCAGATAGTTAAAAAAATCTGAAATATAAGGATAGCTGTGTTCAAACACTCTTTTTCTCTCTTTTTATTTTAACCTCTGTTTCCACCAGGCTCAGCAGACCTGCACCAGATGTTTCCCACACCACCCTCTCTGGAACAGCATATCATGGGCTACTCCCCCATGAATATGTGTAGCAAAGATTACGGCAGCATGGAGTCAAACGCCGGCATGACCACACTGGACGGCACCTCGTCTCTGGGAAACCACTTCAAGATTGAGGTGGAGGAAAGCTTTTGTAGCCCCAAGCCATCTGAGATCAAGGTAGGTCCAGACTAAATGTGTCGGGTATCATTTTACTGCCTGTTAAAATAAGATGAGAAATTTATTACTACTATCAGAAGATACCATAAATATTATAGGTGGAGACTTCATAAATCAAACCTCTTTCAGCCAAGCCATGTAGTCTCAGAGTGTCCTTCATAACAAGCTCTTACCCAGCTGAAGTGTCACTGACATTAAAATTTTACAGTTTTGATTCCTTCAACAGTAAACGTGAGATAAATACAGATTTTCAACTCGACCTTTTTATTCAGCACTGAACAGTTTACTCAGGCCTTACACAAATATTTGTCAAGTTATTGTGTCTGCTTTAATATGTGTTTATTTGTTGTGTGTTGTGAAGGACTATTCGTTTGTGTACAAGCCCGAACTGTGCCAAGCGTTTGTGGGTTGCTCCATGTTCGCTCCACTGAAGACGTTGCCCAGTCAGTGTCTCCCACCCATCAAAATGCCAGAGGAAGGCATTTACCGACCGAGCTGGACCATGGGCAGAGACATGACCTTCCTCAGCAAGGACAGGTATGGCTTCAAAATGTGGGACTATTTATCATGGTCCCCTGGAAAGAAGGTCACTGAGGCGATGTGATTTACATTTGGAGAAGACCTGCCAAGGCTCTGCTGGACGATTTGCATCTTGTGCACACATTGCAGACAATCATACTTCTTTTCTGTCACACACCCTCGGTCTGGCACATGGCTCTGGGCACACCCTCAGTGGCTCAGCTGTTTTTTTTTTTTTTAAATAAAGGCAAATGATGGCCTTATAATTTGTCAGAGAAACTTGAGCAAATCATTTGCTGTTTGGATAAATATTATTATATTTATTACCGATGTTTTTTGTAAAGATAATACTAGCTAGTCACCATCAAAACTAAACTGAACAAACACAAAAACACTGATGAACTACCCTGGAGTGTAAACCACAGTATTTTATTCCTGGTCATGCAGTGTGAGAAGACTGTAATATAACAGAAATATGAAGCACAAATGTAGTTGAATTAAACTGTCGCACAGGAGACATGTCTCAACTCACCTGACATTGGCCGATGTCCAGATGGTCCCTGGTAAACATCTCAGAATGTGCTGGTGCAGCTTGGAATGTGCCCTGGCTGCAGGAGAGAAAGAACTGTGCTGGGACTTCTGTCTAATGAGTCTGTGCCACATGCAGTTCAGGACATGATGTGCTCACTTTCCCTCCCTCCCCTTTCTTCTGCTCTCATACACTCTCTGCTTGCCAACCCAAAAATAAACCGTACCTCAGAGGGAAGCTTGTTGAAATGTTTATTGAATGTCTTTCCCTTTTATACTTTCCATGCTCTCTCAGCTTCACCTCATTCTTACTGCGTTACACCCGCTGTGTAATCTGAAAGTTGAAGCAGTTGTTGTAATGTTATGACCAGCCCCGTCGTCAGTGAAAACCAAACAATTTTTTACATATTGTGCAACATCATTGCGGTTTTCAGAGCGCAAAAATAATAATCTAGTATGTCAGCACCTGAAGAAAGAATGTGGGCCTATTTTTTTTATAAATGTTATCTTATTGATGGCAAACTAGCAAAACCTCTTACCTAAAAAATGTAAAAAAAACTAAAATCAGTTGCTGTGACAAACTATGCATGAATTTTAGACATGCAATATAGGTTTAAAACAACATCTTTTTAGTTAGAGTATTTTTTTGTAATGCTGCTTAAACAGCCACACTAACTTTAAGATGGCTATAAAAGATGTATACATCGTTTCATTTCATTTCTTTACTAATCTCTGTTCTCCACTCTGTTCACCCTCAGTACCATCACCAGTGTGGCAAACGTAATGGACCAGGACTACAACCAGACCTACACTCCTCAGACCCACACGCCTTTCATGTCAAACAGCGCTCCGCCAAGTAACAGTGGCACCGGCATCCTTCCCTCACCCGCCACCCCTCGTTTCTCCGCCCCTACGCCAAGAACGCCACGCACTCCACGCACACCTCGGGGTCCTTCCAGTGTTCAGGGATCACTCAAGTATGAGAATTCTGACCTGTACTCACCAGCCTCGACCCCTTCAACCTGCAGACCGCTGAACTCGGTGGAACCAGCCACGGTACCCTCCATCCCGGAGGCACACAGCCTTTACGTTACCCTCATCCTCTCTGAGTCTGTCATGAACCTCTTCAAAGACTGCAATTTTGACAGCTGCTGCATCTGCGTGTGTAATATGAACATCAAAGGAGCCGATGTGGGTGTGTACCTGAGTGACCCAGTGAGTGAGGCCCAGGAACCCTGCAGCTGCGGCTTCAGCGCTGTGGTCAACCGCCGTTATGGCAATGGCTCCGGACTCTTCCTCGAGGACGAACTAGACATCATCGGCCGAGGTTCAGACGTCAGCAGAGAGGCGGAGAAGCGGTTTGAAGAGTTGCGGCTCTCCTCACTGGAGAAAAGTGGAGTTGGGAGGGGAGACCGTGTTCCCGACGAGCTGATCGTCCTTGTGCAAGACCAGTGCACCAACCCCTTTTCACCCATTTCAATTTTGGAGCACGACCTGGTGACACGGGGAACAGGCGGGGTCTCCGTACCTCCCTGTGTGAGGGTGGAGGAGAAGGACTACTGCAGTGACTGCTACATGGCTCTGGAGCATGGCAGGCAGTTCATGGACAACATGTCGGGTGGAAAGGTGGACGAGGCCCTGGTTAAGAGCTCATGCCTACACCACTGGGGCAAACAAAACGGTGAGAGGAATGGAACATTTACAAATATATCCGAAAGTTTTTGAATTTGACATTAACTTGGTGCTTATTTTTTCACAGCAGTGGACGTGAGTGCGTTATGCTCCCAGGACGTCCTGCGAGCACTAATGTCTCTGCAGCCTGTACTCCAGGATGCTATTCAGAAGAAACGAACAGTGCGGTCGTGGGGCGTTCAGGGACCTCTCACCTGGCAACAGTTCCACAAGATGGCTGGTCGAGGCTCTTATGGTAAAGCTGTGAAGATTTTCTCAGTGATTACACTTTGATTTATGCTTTGCTACTGTACACCGTAGATGTGTTAAAACCAAGCATTAAGTACTCTCTTTTATTTTATTGTGAATGTGTCAAATCTTTATAACAAAAAGACTGCATGACTTCTGTCAGTTTTAGCTTAATTAGGTTTCTGTCAAATCCATGGCTTTATGTTCTATATTTAGATAGAGACAAACTTGCATGTTGTCACATTAACAGTGAAGTTCCTCTGTGGTTGTACTGTGAGAAGGTGTCAAGTTGTCAAGTGAAAACATTTAGCTTCAGGACGGAGCAGGGTTTGAAATCTTACACTGTTAACATCACAACACTTTGTTCTTGTTCTCTGACTCCCACCACTCTCTCTCACTTAGGCACAGACGAGTCTCCAGAGCCCCTGCCCATTCCCACCTTCCTCGTAGGTTATGAGTACGACTTTGTAGTACTGTCTCCTTTTTGTCTGCCATACTGGGAGAAACTGTTGCTGGATCCCTTTGGCTCCCAGCGGGACATTGGCTACCTGGTGATTTGTCCTGACAACGAGGCCCTGCTGAGCGGTGCCAAGAGTTTCTTCCGAGACCTCACCGCTGTCTATGAGGTGGGGACTTGAAAGACTGTTGCACACAATTAAGATCCAGGTGTAGAAATCTCCAGCCAGTGTTTAAAAAATTCTTTATTTATATCATTCAACTGTTTAGAATATGTTTTTAGCGATTAGCTCAAAATAAAAGAAAGATTAAAATATAGCTTCACATGAGGCCGTAATGGTGTCAGACGGTGAGTCAGGTCTGGTTCTTCAGTGTAGACACACATTTAAATTCTCCCAACTAAGAAAACACTACTATAAACATGAATAATACTTGCTGTTGGCCCCTTTTTTGTTAACAAAATTTCATTTTAATAAATGTTTTAAATGAATGTCCTGAATACTGTCTCTCTGTTTGTCTACAGTCGTGTCGACTTGGCCAGCATCGGCCCATTTCCAAAGGGTACCCTGATGGCATTGTCCTTGTCGGGGGCAGTGGAGCCAAGAGCCTCATGGATCAGCCAGTGAGCGATTGGTTCCTCAAGGCTGCCAGTGGCAACAGTGACGCCTTCGCTAAGCTCAAACTCTATGCACAAGTTTGCCGACACAACCTTGGTACGTGTCATTTACAGATCTGCCCATTGAATGTTTACAATCCCCATTGTAAAAAGACATCCGAACAGAATTAAGGCCTAACAGAGCACAAACTTTTGTAAGCTCAGACAACAGGTTTAAACGTATTATGATTATTTTCATTTTGATCAACAATTGTGTTCTGTCTTTAGCTCCATACCTCGCATCACAGCCACTGGACAGCTCACTCCTCACTCAGCCTAATCCTTCGCCTTCGTCCAGCCAGTCATCTTCCACACAACTGTCTAGCTCCACATCTAGTTCAGTGGGCCAGCAGAGTTCCACCACTGCTGCAGGCCCCACAGTTCCCAACAGCAGCAGCAACGCAGGCTCTGGGAACAGCTCTGCCTCAACCAACAACCTGGTCACGACATCAGGCCAGTCTGGGCCTGCGCTACTCTCTGCCAAGGCCAATTGTTTTCCCTCTTTTGGGAGCATGAGCAGTCAGGGCCAGGGTGTTGGCCCCCAGAGTGGACAGCTGGGTCAGCAGGCTGGAACCCAGAATGCTGGCAGTTCAGGGGACAACTCAAGCAGCCAAGCCCAAGGACCTTCAGAGCCACCAGAAAGGTATGCATCATCCTGCACATCAACTCAACACCTGAATAATGTCATTGAATATTTGTATGAACGTTTTACCCCATGGATATACCAGCCATAATATTCAACAAAATAGTTACCTGTCAGTCTTATATTACACTGTAGTAATACAGTTCAGCAAAACAGAGGGCGCTCTGTGCTGTTGTGCACCAGAGAAGCCACAACAGAAGAGAGCTACGATGAGTCGCTCCTGTTTAAAATTGAGTTTTTGTATTGTTTTTTTAATATGGGTACGATGTCACTTTCTTCCCTCAGCACTTTGGAACGAGAAAAGGTGGGCCTGCCCACGGATGGGGAATCCCACGCCATCACATATCCACCTGCCATCGTTGTTTACATCATTGACCCTTTTAGCTATGAGGAGACAGAGAACGGCACAGGCCCAGTGCCAGCACACTCCAGTGTGTGGACACTGGGTTTACTGCGGTGCTACCTTGAGATGCTTCAGTTTCTGCCTGCCCATATTCGCAATTCAGTATATGTACAGGTGAGGAAGCTTCTTGGGCTGGATATTATATACTGTATATTAGATTGCTGACCATATTGTAGTTCACTGAAGCAGCTGTAACCCACCCAAATGTGAAATACTTTGTTTTGTGATGTAGTGATAAAACTGAATGGACGTCATCATATGTAACTTTTGATTGTGTTTTCTCCACTAGATCGTCCCGTGCCAGTATCTGCTGCAGCCAGTACGAAGAGAGGAACGTCATATCTACGCACAGCACCTGAAGTCTCTCGCCTTCTCTGTATTTGCTCAGTGCAGACGGCCGCTGCCGATCTCAACCAATGTCAAATCACTGACAGGTTTTGGCCCTGGATTGGCCATTGACACTGCACTGAAGAGTCCAGAGGTAAATGCATCACAACACAGTGGTTTTGTAGAATAGAACACTCTTGAACCATAAATTGTTTTAGCCTGTAGTTTTATTTGACAAGGTTTTCTCTGATACATCATCATTATCATGTTTGTGTTGTAGTTTGATCAATAAAACAAATAGAACTGTTTTCAGCTTTTCAGTAAGACATTAACCTGACCCAGACCTTTGCCCTGGTTGTGTAATCTACCAGAGAAATGAAAAGACTGTTGGATAAAGAATTTTAAGAACTAAATGTTAGTATAGCTTTTACTCTGGAGCAGGATCAAAAGAACGTGTAACACTCCACTACTGGAGATTTTCTTTCCATTATCTGCTTGGCTAGCTCCTTGAGACCTCTATAATGGGAGCTTGACTGCAGGTTTACACTAAAGGTCGCTTTGGATTCAGACCTAATACCACTGACTTACTTTCATGCAGCTGGGGCTACTTTTTTGTGTGACACACTGATGAAATCCATCCTGGACAAACTGTGTAATTATGGGGACTGGGACAGGGAATTTCACTGTACTGATCAAAAGAATGTGAACTTAACACAAAAGAAAGAAAATGTTTCTGAAACGTCTGCTGTGAATTGCGTCTGCTCAAATGTAAACACGGATCAAAGCTTAGTGCTGAATGTGTTACTAAATGCTGACCTTTTTTCCATAAAATCCTGACAATCTCGCCTCCCGTTCTGCAGAGGCCGGAGTGTCTGCGTCTGTACACGCCTCCCTTCATTTTAGCACCTGTGAAGGACAAGCAGACGGAGCTTGGGGAAACATTTGGGGAAGCATCGCAGAAATACAACGTGCTGTTTGTAGGGTACTGTCTGTCCCACGACCAACGCTGGCTTCTGGCTACGTGCACTGACCTGTATGGAGAACTGTTGGAGACGTGCATCATCAACGTTGATGTACCCAACAGGTAAGGCTCTCATCAAGTGGTGGGCCAGATTTAACTCCAGGGCCTGAGTTTGAAAAATGTGTCTTATAGTACACACTTTAAGACTTTATTGAATAGTCTTTAAAAACCACATGAAGGACGTAAAGCTATTTAAAATCACACCTGAAAAGTAATCTATATTAATGTATAGAGAAGAGTGATTTTGATGCACGTCTGTGTTTCACAGGGCACGGAGGAAAAAGGGTTCAGTGCGCCGATTCGGTCTCCAGAAGCTCTGGGATTGGTGCTTAGGGTTGGTGCAAATGACTTCAGTTCCCTGGAGAGTGGTGATTGGTCGACTAGGCCGAATAGGTCACGGAGAATTAAAAGGTAAGACGCATCATCATCGACGTCCTAAGCGAGTTTGACTCTTACCAAATCTGCATCATTTAAAGGGCACATGTTCCCAGTCACAGGCCGTCACTTCTTCATTCACCACTAATGCTCTTTGTCTTGTCATGTTCCAGACTGGAGTATTCTGCTGAGCAGGAGAAACCTCCAGTCACTGAGTCGACGTCTGAAGGACATGTGTCGAATGTGTGGCATCTCCGCCTCAGATACTCCCAGCATTCTCAGTGTGTGCCTAGTTGCCATGGAACCCCAGGGATCCTTCATCATCATGCCAGGTACAATGTGGAAACACAAATGCATTTTTAAAAGAAGTAATCAAGCTATGATGGTTGAATGTTTAAATACACCTGTTTGTCTGTTGGTTTAAAGTACACATTCTGGCAGAGTTGGTGTTTGTGTGCCTCGTCCGTTTGTGTAAGATTGTGTGTCGTGATTGATAGCAGCAGCATATCACAGTGCACCTCCTCCTCTTGTCCAGAACAGATGGATGGCAGTGGAGATCATGTACCTTTCACTCATACAGCACCATCCCTCACATGCCCATTGATCCCAATGCAGTCTGATGGAGAGAGTCAGATCAATGTGTTTATTTTAGGAAACATACCACGCAAGTCGTCATACCAGACTGATGATCGGCCGAGGGCTGCCACCTTGTCAAAAACTGAAATGGATTAGAAAGCCAGTGAGAGCTTCAGTCATTTCTGCACTGAAATATGTTGAAAGAAAATATACCAGAATGTTAGGTTTTGAGTTCAAGGCTGTCAGAAAATGTTGAAGTCAGTCAATCGATTGTTCACTGTTGTTAAAGAATTCAAGTTATAATTACAATTGAGAGCTGTAATCATGAGTCAGTGTAGCTGATTTGTGGACTAGATTTTTTTTCTAACTGTAAATGACCAGGACTTTCACGGTGATATTCCAAAGTTCTTTACAATAGTTTTTGTAAATGAAATTGTCTTTTTATATTGTCACAGATCCCTTGGAGAAAATGTTATTGAAATGTGTTTGCTTCATGGTAACTAGAGTAGGCTGATATTTTCTGATAGATTTAGTTTCTGTCAGAAGTCTGACTTTAAAAGCATTTATTTCTTGGTCCCTGGCTCAGACTTTCTGGCTGTTCTTTATCAGAGACAGGTTTAAAGATTTTTTTTTTTTTATACAACCCCTGGTACAATGATTGTAACAAGGCTCCTCGTATTGGTTAATTATGCTCAGTGTCAGATGTATTGACCGTCGTTCTCTCCTTCCTCTGTTCTTTCCATCAGACTCGGTGTCAACAGGCTCCGTGTTTGGCCGCAGCACCACCCTGACCATGCAGACATCCCAACTAAGCACCCCCCAGGACACCTCCTGCACACACATCCTGGTTTTCCCCACCTCAGCCTTTGTCCAAGTTGCCAGCTCCAGTTACACCAACATCGACACCAACATCGACATCCTCAACGCCACCACTGGTCAGCAGTCCTTTCTTAATCAATCTCTCGATTTGTTTCTTGGAAAACTTTTTAACTCAAACATGGTGTGTGCTACTTGTGGAAAATTCAGCAATTACCTGCTTTCCACTTCCAATTTTTACTGATTGCACACAAAAGTCCCCATGTTTATTTTTTATAATTTAGGTTTGTTGTGAAACTGTTATTATACAGTATAAACATGTATTCATCAGGGCTGTGGAAATTAATTCTGCAAAAACTGCAATAATTATTTCTGTTATTTAATGCATTTTACATCCACTCTTCATCCAATTATTCTACCACTCATCCACTTGCTTCTAACACAGAGTCAATTCACATTGTTATTTTATTACACTACAGGAAAAAATGTCATTTCCCCGAAGTGCCTCATTCTTAAAATACCAAAAATGTGTTTGTGGAAGTTTCAACTTTAGGTCAGAGTGCTGGCTCTTTGTCAGACCAGCCCGACTGAGCTCAAGGCAGCAAATAAGTCTACAGCTGACAGACTGACTGACACAGTTGTCGAACGAATTGCTAGGAGACTGTAGACTAAAAAATATTGTTGAGGAGAACGGCTTCTACAAGCCACCGTCAAAGTGCTCAGTAATGATTAAAATCTAAGATAAGTTTTGACTTAAATAGATTTTTTTTTTACATTTTTTCACGTTAATAATGCCCTCATTTGGATTAGTCACAAATAAAAACAGATGTGAAACACATACATCTAGCATCAGCTGTTATCTGCCTTTCTGTTCCAGCAATGTACATTGTTTTTTCCCATTTAGGACTGTTGATTTATCTCCACAGCTACCCTGAGATTATTCAGATTCAAATTTAGGGTTTGACAGCCCTTATATACAGTACATGCAGTATACAGTGTGCATTGAATTTCTGAATCCATTAACACATTTAAAGTTACTGAAATAGGTGCAGTTCAGCAGTGCATCAAGGCTGCTGACGTTTACTTTAGAAATAAAACATTCTTTAGAACAAACTAGATCGTGACTCAACAAATGAAAAACTAACCCCCGGCCGCTTCAACTTTTCTATCTCCTGCACAGATGGTTCTGACATATTTGACCTGCTGGACCAGGAGAATGAGTTAGTGGACCCGGACATTATCAACATCTCCCCTAACACTTCACCAGTGCATTCCCCCGGCTCTCATTACCACCATGGGGGTGATGGCAGTAAGGTGAGATGCACACATAGAGTACATGCTCACATTAATGCTCACATGTGCTACTGTTACCCAAGACAAACCGAGTTAACCATGAGTTTCTGCCCTGTTCCAGGGCCAGAGTACGGACCGCATGGAGTCCCATGAAGAGGTCCCCAATCTCCTGCAGCAGCCTCTGGCTCTGGGCTACTTTGTCTCCACGGCAAGAGCCGGTCCACTACCTGACTGGTTCTGGTCGGCCTGTCCTCAGGCTCAGAACCAGTGTCCACTCTTCCTCAAGGTACCAGCCTCTACCCTACCTTACATTACGCAGACTTTTGATGTACATCTCAAATGGTTTCATTTTTACAGTTTTAGAAGTGGCAGACCCAAGACGATTAAATTCTCTTTAATGAGTGGTGAGAGATAAAGAGAAAACAAAATAATGAAGCATAACTAGGAGGCCGCTTTAACAAATTGCTCCTGGAAGTCTTTCAGTGTTTTAAACACCGAGTATATCTCTTGCTTCTTTTTTTAAATATGCAAAGACGACGTGCACCATGAGCTCATCCCCACCGGAGCTCCTAAATATTGTTCATCACCATTAATCAACTGCTGTATGTGTTGTGCAGTGTTGTGTATGTGACCCAGCTTCAGCAGGTGCTGTTGGTGTAATTGAACCCATGGGGTGTAAACAAAATGCACACACACACACACACACACACACACACACCCAAAAGTGTTTTTTGATATGCTGTGACATCCACTGCTTCAGGATTTGGCGACTGACCCAGCAGTTGATGTATCTGTGCTTTAAAAAAGCAATAACTTCGTCATAATGTCACTAACATGAAACCTCCTCCCTCTTCACCCCGCCCTCTCTTTCTTCCCTCCCTCCCAGGCCTCTTTGCACCTCCATGTGTCTTCAGTGCAATCAGATGAACTGCTGCACAGCAAACACTCCCACCCCCTTGACTCCAATCAGACCTCAGATGTACTCAGGTAACTAACACCACAGAACTCTCTCCACCACAGGTCGAGTGCTGACATGCAGTAACTCCTGTGACTGCTGTGTTCTTACAGTGGTTGTTACACTGAAATGGTTGAAGGACACTACAAATGCTATTAAAAAATACAGCAAATAAATGTGAATGCGCTAGCAATGCATTCATAATTCTGACTACCTGAGCTTTTAAGGACAATTTTAAACACTTTCAAGTTCTAGTTTTATTGCAGCTCAATATCCCTTTGTTTGCAACTTATAGATGAACACATGACAGCCTTGACTTTAAAGCATGAAAAAAACAACCATGGCATTTTACAACAAACAATTAATTTAAAAAAAATGTCAACCCATCTACATCAGCCCCTGCATATTAGTTTATACTGTTGGGTTTAAATTTTTATGCAACTGTTAAGCTACAAAAAAGATAAAACCAGACTGAGACAGCTAGTCTGAGCCACTAACTTTGAAGCAGGTACTTCACACGACAGTCTCAGTAACATGTTACCAGTAGAGTTCAAACTTTGGCAATGTTATCTTTAGAAATAACGAGTCAGAAACAACCACATTTCCAAAGGAAATGTAGGAAATGCACTCCTTTATAAAAATGTACTTAGTGACATTCATATATAGAGATTGACAAAATGCTCAGTTAGAAAAACTGCGCAAAAACCCCTGTGAAATCTCTGAAATAAAGAACTTTACACACCAGTCAATTTGGATCCTCTTACATTAATTCTGACCAATAACCACCAAGTTAAAAAAAATCTTGTCTACCTCTACCTTAACAGATATGTGCTGGAGCAGTACAACGCCCTCTCCTGGCTGACGTGTGACCCGGCCACGCAGGACCGTAGATCGTGTCTGCCCATTCACTTTGTGGTGCTCAACCAGATGTACAACTTCATCATGAACATGTTGTAGCCAATCCCCTGTTACAGCAAGAGGATGGTGGCAAAGCATTTCAGAGAAGAGGCAATCACGACTCCAAGATGGAGTTGCATCAAGACTGAAGAAAACTGCACGAACCAGAGCCTGGCACGGAGCTGGATCCTGCACCAAAAATGGATCAGAAGTTCTTTTCTCAGTCTGTGGCTGTGCAGACAGCGCTGTCCCTGTATAGAGACAAGGGAGAAAAGAAGAGGGGAAAACCCAAGTTGAGTTACAGTTAATGAATGAGCGAATGAGAGATTTATTATGGTATGTAGCATGGCAGCACAGTCACTGTCCATTTTTTTATTGGAAAGAGAAGTGTATCTGTAAAGTTATTGGAAGCAAAGGGACATATTTGATCAGGACAAAAAGTCCAGATAGTTTTAAGACCTGAAATTGTTTTTTATTCCTTTGGATAAAAGAGTATCCAAAAGAAATGCCTGCATCTATCTTATTTATTGTAAGTTTTAAATGTATAATTTGTCTTATTTCTTAACCTCTTTTATATGGAGAAGGTTTATATCACCTTCCTGCTTTAAAGCAATTGGTCTAAGATGTATCTAACCGTCTTAATTAAAAAAAACAACCGAGGAAAAAACAACATAAAAATAAAGTTGCAGTAGGTTGCTTTTAGAGTATTATTTTTTGTAATGGAGACAGAATATTTGTATTGTCACAATGTACAGAAGAATTAGAGGGGAAATTATGCTCCATGCCTTTGAGCATGAAGGACTTACAGCAAAGCTGTAGCTACAGAGGACTTGTACAGCAATGAACTTCACTTTGTTCAAATAAAGAGGTACATTGTTGTATATAGTATTTTATACTACACATTTAGACACAAAATGGCAATATATATATAAATAATTATATATGAATGCCATACCAGCAGTTGATGGTGTGGCTTCTGTTTTAGGAATAAAGTGCGTCAACTTATTTTCCTGCGCTTGTGTCTCTTGTCTTGGGAAAAGGGGGGCGGAGGGGAGGGGGGTGTGCAGTAAGATAACTGAAAATGGAGAACTCTTATTCCAAACTTGCTGATAGCAAGTTTGATTTTTATTAATAATAATTAATAATAATAATTTCTAATAATAATAAATAAGAAATGAACTCATCAGATTGTGGCACTTAGCAGAAACTTTTATAAAAAAAACAAAACAAAATTGCCTCAGATTGAAGCAGCTGGCATATTATCTGGGAACTCTGTGCATTTGTAATTGAACAGAAGTCCTGCTCTGTTAAATTTCTTATTTCAGTGCAAGGACAGTCAGTCTGACCTTACAACCTTAAATGCAGTGGCGTTTACTAACAAATAATGCAACAGAGCAGGGGTCGGGAACCCTAGCAGAGAGGGCCAATATAGTCACATATTTTAAAATGTATTTCTGTGAGAGCCATACAATATTTTTTTATAATCCAATACATAAAATACTTACCATTACTGTAACTTTTGGTGCTGCATGGTTTTGCATGGTTTTTGCAATTATTTAACACAAAGAAAGTACGCTGCTGCAACAAATGCAGAATATAAGGGGGATTATTTAAGAATTATTGGGTAATTGTTTTATTTATTTTAAGCTAAGTAATTCAGAAAAATCTTAAGACACTTGAATAGAAAATTTGGTCCTTACAGTATATACATGTAACTCCTTAAATCTCTAATGAGAAGTAGGACCGCGCTGGTTACTTCAGCGTAAATACTTCGTTTGTGTACAATTCGTCCGCCAAAGCTAAGTCAATCAGCACTGGAGGTCTGCACTGTCAGCGTGGTCGGTGTCACTCCACTGTCACCCTGATACGGCTAAATTAAAACCAATCACATATCTGTAGAAAATGTAAAAGTCAGAGCGTTTAATATAACAAAACAAAGCTTTAAACGTACCGGCAAACACAAGGGCAGTCTACTTCCCTTGCCTTTATTATAGAGTCCAGTGTAGCACCCGGTGCGACATATGGGAGTCTTGAGTTTTGTCGGGCCTTGAGGGTGAAATTTATTTTTTAAAGACCTCGTTCTAACACATAAGGTAAGATACATGTTTTATTGCAAAATATGAATCTAATACCAGGCGTTTATAAGGCGGATACACACGACTCATTGAATGTAAACACACCGACTGTTAGCATAGCCTAGCAATAGCAGTTAGCAGTGGGTAAATTCTGCTTGAAAATCACTGGGAATGAAAGAGCGCCAGCCACACAGCTGGAAGAACAGTATGTGTCGTTTAAGATAAACATTTTATAATGATAAGGGTAAAACTAGACGTTAGTTTGTTGAGGATTTTCTGAGATATGTAATAAAGTAAGTTTTTAGCAGTGCAACGATTTGTGAAATTGCTAATGTAAACTTGTTTTTATTTCCCTCTGTTTACTATTTTCATTTTTCTAATCTGGATAATTGATATTTTAAATGCGGATGCACGTATTTCAGAAATTAATCCATACAATAATTGTCGTGAGTAAAAATTGGGAAACTGTCAGTTTCATGGTCACTTAGTGTAGAGGTGTCTGCACTCCATAAAGCAACAAAGCTTGATTTTCGTGACAAAAAATACTAAGTAGTATCTAAAAATGCACATATAAATGTACATGAATATAAATGTACATGAAACAAACCATTACAAATGCAAAACTTTACAAACTATTTCAATTGCTTAAAAAGATATATAACATTTGCCAACTACTGTTTATTCATTTCACACTGCCCTTCGTTAGTTCGCTAAAAACATCTATTCTGGTGCTTTAGGACTAATAGATTTTTCTGTATTTTTAAGATTCAAGTAGGTTTTTGCGTCAGCGGACAGAGAACTATAACAATATTGAAGAAAATAATACACATAATATGAAGCATCATTAATTGATTTTGAATGTTTATAGTTTGCCTGAAAACAGAAATATAAATAATTGTTTGTTTTAAATCTTTTTTGCAGAGCTTTTAAAATTGTGCTTTTAAAAAGTTCTATAGTTCTCTGAAGCTTCAGCTGCAGAGATGGCAGACAGTGCAGGGCTACAGTTTGTCAGCGCCTTCGCATTTGAAGCCATGCAGAAGGTTGATGTGGTGCGTTTGGCTGCATTAAGTGACCCAGAGCTGAGGCTGCTGCTGCCCTGTCTGGTAAGGATGGCTCTTTGTGCTCCAGCTGACCAGAGCCAGTCCTGGGCTCAGGACAAGAAGCTCATTCTCCGCCTGCTGTCAGGAGTTGAGGCTGTCAACTCTATTGTAGCCCTCCTGTCTGTCGACTTTCATGCCTTGGAACAGGATGCACGGAAGGAGCAGCAACTGAGGTATTGATTAGTGCTACATTGCAAAAAAAAAAAGAAGCTAAAAATCCAAAGTTTAGCTTCAATTAATTAACAATTAAAAATCATGTTTGTTGTTTTTCTTCCAGACACAAGGTTGGTGGCTCTAACGGGGAAAGCATTTTGGTGTCGCAGTTACAGCATGGACTCACTTTGGAGTTCGAACACAGCGACCCACTTAGAAGACTGCGTCTGACTCTTGGTGAACTGCTGGTTATCATGAATAAGGTAAAGTCAAATATAAACAACCTTTTTAAAAAAATAAGGGTAATGCCATATTTATGAATAATGCTGACAAATAACTACTTTTCCAGCCAGTCTTAATAAAACCATTGCTACTACAGTGAGAAATTTAAATACTTCTGCACATAGTGACTGTTGTGTGAATTGTTACTGTGAATTTCCCCATTATGGGATGAACAAAGGACTAATGTTAACTTCTCACCTTTATTTTACCTACTCTGTTCAGCACAATTGAGTTGGATGAACTACTTTGTATCCCTTTGACTTTATATGTTTGTTATTCAGGTGGCAGACTCAAATGGAGAGTTTTTCTTAAAGTCCTCTGAACTATTTGAAAGTCCTGTTTACTTGGAAGAGGTTGCAGATGTCCTCTGTATTTTACAAGCAGGTAACCAAGTCTTTTTTCTTTCCTTAACCATCTAAGCTGATTGTACTTTTGCCACTCAGATTATATTATATTAAGTGTGTTTTTATTTTGTGTTGGCAGAGCTGCCCTCGCTGCTGCCCATAGTGGATGTGGCTGAGGCTCTGCTCCACGTACGCAATGGTGATTGGTTTCTGTGTCTGCTTGTGGCCAATGTCCCTGACAGCTTCAATGAAGGTAATTTACAGTTCACAGTGGTTCATTGAATAAAATTTAATCAAATATGATGTGTAACAAATGTTGAGGAAAATAAAAACTCGTGAAGGTCACAATTACAAATGTAGATTATCTGTTTGCATTAAACCTAAGGATTTATCAACAGCTCTCACTGCACTGTCTCCTCTGTAATTCATGAATTCATGTCAGTGGAAGTGATAACCTGAGCTCATTGAAACTGGTTGGCCTTGTAAATGATCTGCTCTAAACTGAGAAATGAGTCTTGGAATATAGAGTCGTTTGATGACTGTTGCCTTTTATTGACAGGAATTCAATTGAGTTTGTAAAAAGGAAGAAAATGACATGGCTGTGTTATTTTAAAAGAAATAATCACCTTTACCATCAGTCTGAAAAAGAATAGAAATATCAATTCAAAGAAAATACAGTGTTTAATTTTTTTACTCACGCTATTGGTTCTTTATCTGCCATTGAATCACTTGTTCTGTGATGGTTCCGCCTTTAAGCCACTGTCTGTGCAGAGATAAAGACAGCTCCTTATCATAAACCCAACACAGTCTTTTCTGTGTTAAGTGTTGAAATCCCCACCTTTTACCATCAGGTCAAAAGGTGATTAAACGTCCAAGCGTCTTAAAGTAAGGCCAGAATATCACCCAGATCTAAAAATCAGCATCCTTCTCATTTTCTTCCTCTCAGTGTTAGGGCTACACTCGCTGGTGTGTGACGGCAGGTTTAACCTTCTGGCTGTAAATTACACATTTTTATGGTGTTAGCTCACAAAAATGCAAGTTCAATGAATGATAATACCAACCCTGGGTGTAATAACCAAATAGTTCACATTTGCTGTGCAGAATTAAAACATTTAGGGAAAAAACGCTGCATTTTACATTCATGATTTCTCTCACTTTTATGCATGTCTTTTTTTTAACAGTGTGCAGAGGATTGATAAAGAACGGAGAACGTCAAGATGAGGAGAGTCTCGGTGGTCGACGCAGAACTGAAGCCCTGAGGCAGCTGTGTCACATGAACCCCTCACAGGCCCTCAACATCAGAGCTATGGCGGTCAGTTACTTTGTTACTCTTATTGTAGTGTGCTTTTGTGCAGCATAAATACATTAAAATCAAAACACAGACATAAATAAAACAACATGTCTTGTCAAACAGTGGCAATTCTGTGAGTGGATAAAGAATTTTAAAAAATGAAAGTTTTGTTTATGCTCAGGTGGAGGAGTGCCATCTGCCCGGCCTGGGAGTCGCTCTGACTTTAGACTACAAACCAGACGCAGCAGATGAAGCAGTCAGTCCTCTGGTCTCCTATGTGAGTGGCCTACTGCTGGGTACCAACAGCAAAGTGCGTACGTGGTTCAGCATGTTCATTCGCAATGGACAGCAGGTGAGTGGCTGGAGTGTGGGCGGGCACAAGCAATTTGTCTAGCGTGTAGCAGAGGGTGACAACAAGTACTGTGGGCACACACCCACTGCATGACTGCATGAACCAAATAGGTCATATGTCTGTGTGTATATGTCTTTAAAAAAACATGTTTTTCTTAGATAAATTAGATATATTACCCATAAGACACATTGCAAATTCTAATTATATTAGTAGTGTTTAGTGTACTTTTATTTGTGCCTTTTCATTTATAAATATTTGTTCTACATTGACATCAGAGTTTTTCCTCATGTACTCCCTGCTGTAGAAGAAATATTTAATCCTTATTTTTCAGTTTAATTTACTTATGCTAAAATGATCTCACTAATCTCAATTTAATTCATTTTATTTTCATTTTAATCAATAATTAATCAACCGTCGATTAAATAACCAACCAAATAAACTTCCATTTAATCCCTAATAAATAAAGAGAAACTTAAGCAAGCAGTTAATTACTTTGATCATTGAGTTGAGTCTAAATCGCCTTTGTCTTTTTTTCTGACCCTGTTCTGGCAGAGAAAGAGAGAGAGCAGCTCAGTGCTGTGGCAGATGCGTAGACAGCTGCTTTTGGAGCTGGTCGCCATCCTGCCACGCTCACGAGGCACACACATGTCCACTGACGGAGAGGAGGGCGGCGCAGGCTACTCTGGCCTGAGAGAGGAGCATGTGGTGAAGGCCAGCGCTTTGCTGCGACTGTACTGTGCTCTGATGGGTATTGCAGGTCTCAGGTAATTCATACAGCAGGGGTTCCTAAGATGTATATATACCGTATATTTTTTTTTTGTTCACCCCCAGGGACCCCCGCTTTGTAAACCACTGTCATAGAGAATTCAGTGACATCCTATTCAGTTGTGTTTATTATTTTAAGTTTGTTCTCAATGTTATTTTATATTCTGGATTTTTAAATCCAGAATATTTTAAATCAACTTTTATCAATCAGTTACAAATTCTGTTTTATATCATTGTGAAAGCTCCTGTCTTAGATAGATGATGTACTCGCTGTGGTTCCTCTGTAGACCAACAGATGAGGAGTCGGAGCAGCTGCTACAGCTGATGACCAGTCGGCCTCCAGCTACTCCTGCAGGCGTTCGATTCGTCTCTCTGTCTTTCTGCAAGCTGCTTGCCTTCCCCACTCTAGTCAGGTACATAGTCCTGGAGGCTCACCTTAGTGAAGTATTAGGTTTGTTGTTTAGCAGCTGAAGTTATATGCATGCTAACATATCTTTTTGTTTCATTGAAATCTAATGTCACCCCCTGTCCTGTGTGTCTGGATGCAGCACTCCAGAGCAGGAGCAGCTGATGGTCATGTGGCTCAGCTGGATGATCAAAGAAGAGGAATATTTTGAGAGGTTAGTGATATAACTCTTATATAATACTTTTTTTTTTAACATTCTGTATCATTTGGGATTTGTGGGGTTATGTGAGAGGATTCTATTTATAAAAATGTCCCTGACCTTAATTAACATTGTTATAAATGAATTAACTTAATGGTGAGTTCACAGTCACTTACTATGACTACGCTACTGTGGTCTGTAGAAAGAGCACACCTCACTGTTATATCGTTATGTATTTGTAGAAAGTAATAATACTGATATTTTTCTGTTTTTGTAGAAGCATGACAAACGTATATATACATTATATATATATATGTATACATACATAAATACTTAAAATAATATACTAAAAAATGACATGTTCTATATATATATTTTTTTTTTACATGGTTTAGGCTGCTATAGTCCAAAAAGTGTAATTTTCCTCAAATATTTCATTGCATTTCTTTTTCAAACAACAATAAAATAACTTTAATAACATTTTTGAAACCTTTAGAAATGAACAGTTTAAGTATTTTTTTTAATCAATTTTTGTTGTGTGCTGTGAAGCTGGGTTGTAATGTATTCACTAAGCAACAACCATGATTACAGTGCTATATGCTACGTGTTAATGTCACACTGGGTGACCTGATCAGATATATGTGCTAGAGTGGGTTTGTGTTGGTAGTTTGATTAGAATTCTGTCCTGTAAGTCCAGGCATTAATGTCTTTTCTTCTGTGTGTGCATGTTCTTTCCTACAGTGCTGCAGGCGTATCCGCTTCTTTCGGAGAGATGCTGTTACTGGTTGCCATGTATTTCCATAGCAACCAGCTTAGCTCCATTATTGAGTTGGTGTGCTCTACTTTGGGGATGAAGGTGAGGTAGACGGTGCAGAGCAGGAAGTGATCAATACCTCAGTCTGACTGAGCAGCTGATGTCCCCACGTCTCCATCACAATACTGCACTCTATCACTGTGTGTCTGCAGAGTATTATTACACAGTTGTTTGTTTGCTAATGTGCTGAGTAGCCTTCCCCTGTCTCAGTGTATTTTCCACCAAGACTTGACATGTAATTGGATTTAGTGCTTGTTTGTTTCCGCCTTCAGGGTAAATATCTTTATTCAGTGTTTTGATGTTTCGCTTGCCATGTAGTATTTTTCTTATGAAACAGGAAGCACATTACAGAACACTGCCTGTAGGCTGTTTTGACTGAGTTAATAATTCTTTTTTTCTTGTCTTATTGTTTAAACCTTTCACAGATTGCCATCAAGCCGAGCTCTCTAAGTAAAATGAAGACTATCTTCACTCAAGAAATCTTCACAGAGCAGGTATGTGTTCTACAGCCATAATAACCATAACGCTCACGTTCCTTTAACGCTCACCCGATAACGTGCCTGTTATGTGTGTTATCTAGGTTGTCACAGCTCATGCGGTTCGAGTTGCAGTGACGAATAACTTAAGTGCCAACATCACAGGATTCCTCCCGATTCACTGTATCTACCAGCTGCTTCGCAGCCGTGCCTTCACGAAGCACAAAGTCTCAATCAAGGTGTGATGATGTGATGTTTTGATAAACCAAGATGAGCTACTCGCTGGGCGGAACTAATAAAGGAAATGTCCCACTGTTATATCTACCAGGACTGGATATATCGCCAACTCTGTGAGACAACCACACCCATGCACACCCAGCTGATCCCTCTGATCGACGCCTATATCAACTCCATCCTCACTCCAGCATCCAAAGCCAACCCAGAGGCCACGAACCAGCCCATCACCGAGCTGGAGATCCTCACCGTCTTCCAGAGCGCTGCATGGGTGAGTTGACCGAGTGCGTGACAACAGTGACCAAAGTAAGAAAAAGAAAGAATCATTTGACTTGAGAAGAAGATAATATAAGTGCACTTTTATTTGGTGCATATTTAAGACCTACTTTTATAATAATGCTTTTTAAAGTGGACTAATAAATTGTTAAATACTGGGGCATTCACATTCAATCAACAGATTTAATTAGTCTCTGAGTCTAAATGGCTCAGTACACCGACAGTTGTAGCTGTTAGTTGAAGTTAAAGCTACATCACAATTTAAGCCTTATGTTATCAGAACACAAACATTTTATTATAGCTTCAAGAAACCTCTAATAATAAACTCTATCAATCCATGACTAATGATGCAGAATTCACAGTGTTCTATGTTCCACTGGTCTGGTACTTATGCTGAGCAGCACATTTACATTTGTTTCAAATACAGCTGTACTCTGTCTTCTCCACAACAAAGGCTAATTTTTCTTTTACTGTTTGTGTCGTTAGCCAGGCGATGGTGTGCGAGGAGGTCGACAGCGATATTCCATCACCACCCAACTGCTTATCCTCTATTACATCTTATCTTATGAGGAGAACCTGTTGGCCAGCACCAAACAGCTAGGTGAGACAATGAACCTACTCCCTTTCTCTCATCTCCTTCGAAGATGACAACGTTGTATTTGAGTTGGGGGCAAAACTCCTGTTAACTTGTTGGAGACTCACTCTACCTCAAGTGTGCAGTCGTTGTTTCTCCTCTGTCTTAACACAGTTTGTTGTTGGTTACTGCATGCACGGAGTAAAGAGATGGCACGTTAGGACAACTGTAGGTTACTGTGGGCATTAGCAGTTAGCCTGCCCTGTGTTTGTCCTCTAGTGGGACAAGAGCTCCTCTTGCCCTTCATTAGTCCAGATTTATGTGAGAGTTTAGGTCCATCTCTTTAATTGCTGTGTTTACCCAAGAACTCCTGCAGCCTTCAAGGAAGGAGTAATGATGCCTATCAGCAGTGATAATGAAGTCATGTCGATGAAAAATCACCACAGCTCCTCTCACATTCACACACCGTGGTGTCTCTGGTGTCCCCACGTTGCTGTGTAAAATGCCTTGCTCTTCTCTTGCTGTACATTTTCATAACACTCACTCATTCATTCACTGTCCTATGGTTTCTGGACTTGTTCTGTTTTTTTCCATTAAAGCCCTGATGCAGAAGAAGCCAAAGTCCTACTCTGCAGCCTTGATGGACCAAATCCCCATCAAGTACTTGGTAACCCAGGCCCAGGGACTGCAGCAGGAGCTGGGGGGTAAGACTAGCAGTGGGCATCACAAATAAAACTCAGAGCCAGTTATTTGAGTTTAATTAATTAATTAGTTTCTATATATTGCTTCTATGTAGCAGTTAACAGCTAATTTGTTTCCAGGCCTGCACTCTGCCCTGTTAAGGCTGCTGGCCACAAACTACCCCCACCTAAGTCAGGTGGAGGACTGGGTGTGTGAGGAGGAGGTGACAGGTACTCTTCCCCTGCTGCAGAAAATGATGCTGCCCAGCAACACCTGCAGATACACACAGAGCCAACTCCACCAGGGTGAGAACATCAAGTCATTGCAAAGAAAAAAAATCGAAATTGTAATCCTAATAAGGAAAAGAAAAGTGTATATTAAAAAGTTTTACTTTAATGGTAGTTAAACATGGAACAAAAATTAAGCATAACTCAAACTGTAATCTTGAGGTGTGTTTTTGTATTTACAGCCTTCCAGAAGCTGCCATCCAGCAGTCCCAGGCTGATGCGGGTCCTGGAACACTTGACACTGCTGTCACCTGGAGACCTGATACCTTATGCTGAAGCCCTCACAGCCAGCATGGCCCTATTATTGGAGCCCGCTGTGCCACGTCGTATATTACAGACCCTCAACAAGCTGTGGATGGGCCTCAACTCTGTGATGCCTCGAAGGTCAGTTCACAGGAAGAAAATATCTGGTCGAAATGCCAGGGATAATTGGAAACATTACGTCTTAATAATTGACAGTTTTGTCTTCCTATAAAGATAGTTAAATGTTAGACATGAATAGGAAAGCTGAAGATGCATGTGCATGTAAATCCCTATTATAGATTGTAGATGTTTATTGTCTTTGGCTGTCTGTTGAATTATTAACTACATCATTCAATAGAGGCTAAGGAATTGACACATAATCTTTCCTAAAGCGCTGTCAAGTGGCTCTGAGGCACAGTAAATGGATTAGAGGAAGAACAGGAATTTTGACCCTGGTACCGGGCCACTTGTTCAGTGATTACTGTGTGAACAGATCAGAGGTATTGAAAGAGCCAACTCTGTCAGCCTGTGTGAACCGCCTGGACAGAGGAGAGTGACCCTCACTTTGCCCTGAACTCACTGGAGCACAGTTACCAAAGCTCAGAACAGACATCCTATTGATTCCAACAGGGTCTTGAACAAGAAGAGCTCAGGGCAGAAAAACTGAGAGTGATGCTCCTCGAGGGATGGAGGGGATTGTTGGCCATTCTCTTTTCTCTTCCTCGATCTCTGTTGTGGTATTGGATGTTGCAGAGGGCTAAATCTGAGGCTTTCACACAGTTCAACTGATTGATGTACAGGATGGCTCAGGGCTGCAGGGGTCCCCTGTGGTTTGTAGTGGTCCTGCATTTGTCCTGTAAGAGTGACTGTCCACATTTATGGTCTTTCTTTTAATACATTTTATTATTATTCTTAAACCCGTTAGCCTTAAAACTCATTTTAAGACTCTGTTCATAATAATAATATATTTTATTTAAACAGCACCTTTAAAAACACACAAAGAAGTGTACATTAAAAAGAATCAATGTACACGTTGTAGATGTTGTTAAACAGTTTAGAATTCAGTATTGTGGAGGTCAGGAGATATAATGCCAGTGAATGGAAACTACAGTGAGGTGATTAAATGTCATTCCTGTGTTATGTGTTTCTGTGTTACAGACTGTGGGTCATGACCGTAAATGCCCTCCAGCCCTCGGCTAAGCTCCTTAGGCAGCAGAGATACACTCAGAACGACCTGATGGTGGATCCTCTCATTGTGCTACGCTGTGATCAGAGTGTGTACAGGTAATACCAGGGTTCTGTTATCTGCTTATTAATCAGAAATCAAATTTCACACAGTATTTCTGGAACCTAAGCAGTTTTACTTTTTATGTATTACATATGTAGTTGTTTTTCATTTATTTTGCCTTTTCCTCTAACAGGTGTCCTCCTTTAATGGACATTGTCCTCCACATGCTGAATGGTTACCTGCTGGCCTCAAAAGCCTACCTACACTGCCACCTGAAGGAGACGGCAGACTTTGATCGGCAGAACCAAACAGTGTCCAGCCTTGGAGTTCCTGGACAGCCTGAAACACCTGAGGTCACCAGAGAGGAGCTGAAAAATGCACTTCTGGCTGCACAGGTATTTCACACTGACACATTCCTGGAGTCTCTCACATTCATTTATTTTGCCTATGACTGGTCACAGGGTGTCGATCTTCAGTAGTAAGACATTTAGAAAGCACACAAATATACAGTGGTTTCACCACCAGTTATTTTTCCTTTTTTAAACTCCAGGACAGTGCAGCAGTCCAGATTCTTCTGGAGGTGTGTCTGCCAACTTCAGAGGAGCAGCTGCTGGGGGCTGACACAGAGAGCCTGTTGAAAAGCATTAGAGGGTCCGTGCCAGGGAAAATGAAACAAGGGAGCCTGGTGTCGAGAGGCGGCGGAGGCGTGGAGGACGCTGAGCCAGAGGGAGGTCTGCTCAGTGACCTGAGGGAGGTGCAGTGCCTCATCTGTTGTCTTCTTCATCAGATGTTCATCGCTGACCCCAACATTGCCAAGTTGGTTCACTTTCAGGTAAAACGTCAGGAAAAAGTCTAGAGTTGTTTAAGACAACTGTGAAGAGCACATAACGCAGTGTACTGTTCTTTTCAAATTTGAATTTGTAAATGTATATATAAATATAACTATATGTTAAATGCCTTAAAGAACCCAAAATGTGCAGCTTTTATTTTAAAAGTGTAAACTTACCTTTGTGGGTGTTTCAAGTTGTAGTAGCTGGAAAAAAAAACGCCAAAAACATTTGTAACTCTCATCCGCCCCATCAGCCATCACGGCTCTCTCTCAGACAGAGCAGAGGACCATATGGTTGGTTTCACTTAAGCAATTCATGTGCTTCAATGCTAATCCATCTCCTTGAAGTCATTGCCAAGTGATGCTGCATGCGTGTGTGAGCTCATCTTTGTGTGTTCAAGTGACCGGCCACTTTTATGATAAGTTGTAAACTCCCTGTGCTCTCCCTCTGTGGCTGTCTCTCTGTCAGGGTTACCCTCAAGCTCTGCTGCCTTTAACTGTGGCAGGCATTCCCTCCATTCATATCTGTTTGGACTTCATCCCAGAGCTGCTGGCCCAGCCCCAGCTGGAAAAGCAGGTGAGACCTCCCGTAC